ATATTTCAGATGGATGATTTTTGTCCCATTAATATTTTGCTTTAGGCTTTATCCCAGCTATGTGTAATTACCATTCACCTGTATGAAATAATTTTTATATTAAAGCGCCCTGAGTGCTTTTTGTTGTCACATTCCCACCTACTTCGGCTTGCGAACCACATGTTCCAGAAAATCATGGAACAGTAAGGTTATGAAAATATTTATATTTCAAAAATATTGAAATGATTGGAGGAGAACATTTGCCTAGTATATACTTTATCAGTAATATAATATGGCGCAAAAAGGTGATTTTTTTTAAACTCATTTATTCCTGCTATAAATGGTTGCCATAATTTTTGTGTGCCAATAGTGGGCAAGTTGCTCGGAGGCGATTAGCAAAGGATGTTCAAAGTTTGAGTGCAGGCCGATCAGAGCGCTTCTACGACGCTATTTACCGTGTTAGTATATACTTGAAAAAATAGTGATTTTTAGCTTTGATTAGTGGTTGAATTTACTCTTGTCGCATCTTACACCAGTCCAAAGGGCGTGATTGGCCTGTCCTGAAGGTTTCTTGGGCAGCCATCCTGTAAGTGCCTACTAATTTTCTTATCAAGCTTGTATTTAAATCCAGGTACCTGGAAATTCGTCGCTGGGAGTCCTCAGAAGAAATAAACCTTGTGCAGGAGTTTACCAAGTGGCACTCTAGGGAACTCCCCGAAAAAACTGTTTGATCTCACACTTCTTCTTTTTATGCATCCTCAGCAGCGCCTGTACAGTATTGTTAAGGAAAGACCCTTTATCGTTTTTGAACAAATTAAAATGGCCGGTTTAAGCATTCTTCTCCACTGAATATATAGACGCGTATAGATGCGACTTTTATGGTGGATGCTCTTGCTTCTAGAAGTTTTGAATTAACATCAAAGAGGTCTTCTACATCGAATGGGAAAAGTGCGTTCTAAAACAACACCTTAAGTACGTCGATAATTATTATTGTAACCCACGGTACTTTTAGTGTTGTTTTGAAGTTTTTTTTTTCTTAATTCGGTTTATTTATCACGTAGCAGTCAAGTGAAAATCCAAATTGTGCTATGAACACTTGCAACTTATATGACAGTTTTATGTAGCAGCATGCAGACGCATGTAAAAGTTGTTACTATATAAGTTGAAAAGGAGATCGATTAAAGGACGTTTGTGCCAATGCACGCGCCCGATGAAAGAGGGACTAAAGCTAGTAATCGATAGCAAGTTCCCTTATAGGTTATCTCCGAAAAGCGCCTTTTCCCCGTTGTTGTTCTTCAATTAAATACGAAATACATTTATGTCAGCCCCGCGCGTTAAGATGGTCGCTGCGTTAAAAAAATAAAAAAAAAGATGAAATTTATTTAAAATTGACCGTGCCCACTAAAAAGGAGAAGTTGCAATATTTGTGCGCACAGACTAAAAATAATTCATTATCATTGAAATGGAAATGCGAATTTTGGGCATATACTCAGTTCTTTAAGCGGAGAGGAATTGTACAAAATAATTACTTTACTATCTCGTGCGGTAAAAAAACGATACCTTCGTTCACAATTTAAAGCCCGCCATCTTTGGATAACGCCTTCAGTTTAATCTCTTCAACAGGCCAAGGTGATTACCGAATTAGTCCCATTTTAAGTGTGGGTTGGATTTTTATGGAGTTTAAACGATGACGCGTTAACTTCGTGCCGTTGCAACAGTGTTCGGCAACCGGCCTACCGGCGTTGATTGAGGTTGAACTTTCAAAAAGAAATAATAAATGAACAACAGTAATAAAAAGATGCATCAAATAGTGGAGGGTTCCAATGGGGTGATGGCTGGTAAGTTTAAAGGATAAAATTGTGGCCACTTTACGGCTAACGGTTAGGTTTTTTTCCCTTACACTGGTTACCAAAAATATTTTTACTATTAACGTTTTTGACGACTACCGTTTAAAACTTTATCGTGAGGCCTTGCTCTAAAGCTGCATACTGACGTAAGGACTTATTATTTTCATCTCTTTGTTGGAGTCTAGTCAGCTAGCAATAGCGAGAAACGGGTCTAAATTTCGATGATTTTGTGAGTTTCTTATTTTGTAATTGACTACATCACACTTATGCGAAGTATCTTTTTTTTCACATGGTTGTTTAGAACAAATGAATAAAACCCCTTAGGGTGACCTCATCGTGAACAAAAGCAATTAAATCATTGCTAAGCGCAAGGTAAAACAGCCTATTGTTTAAACTTGCGACTTCCTCATCAGTGCCTTGTGTAAGGTAAGTGTGATTTTTTTTTCATCCTTTGTTATAATGGAGAAGTATGTTTGCCGTCGTCATAACAGACCAGAAACAAAGGGGGTAAGTTTCTAAAGAAACTCTGGTGCTGCGTCAGTGGGGGTAACAAGGTGATTTGGTAATATTAACTAAGTTGAAATTGTAAATTGGCCACCTAAAAAGTTCAAAAGCTGACGTTTCGAGCCTTAGCTCTTCATCAGACTAATGAAGGGCTAACGCTCGAAACGTCAGCTTTTGAACTCTTTACGGTGGCCAATTTATAATTTCAACTTAGTTGATATTACCAGAAACAGAACAGTTCGTAATTACATTTATAACGACGATTACTAACAATTTAGGTTTATTCATAAAAACATTGGGTTGTTATGTACTCCCATGTAGGATAGAAGATATATTTGTATCTGGTGTAAATATTATCTGCGTGTGCTAGGCTAGCTTTTTGTATTTCCAATGGTAGAAAATTTACCCGATCAAATCTGTTGAACTCACCGATCATTTTTTTCTTAATTAATAACAAGTTGTGAGGAAACAAAGTCTTTGTTTATTGAGTAACAACAATTGGCGCTAACCGCACGGCTCCTAAAATACAACAACGCTCAGTAAATTAAGGCATTTCATGTAACATCTGTATGGATAAGGAACGACTCAACTGAAAGACCTGACTGGCAAATTAGCTACCGTAAAAAAATTGGCAGACCATACATCTGACGGTAGGAAATTTACCAATTCAAATGGGTTGATCTCACCAACCTTCCTTCCTAATTAAAAAAGAGTTATGAAGAAACAAAGTCTTTGTTTACTGATTCACCGCAATAAGCACTTATTGTATGGCCCCCAAAATAAAATAACGCGCAATAGATTGAGGCGGTTTTTTTTTTGTAACATCCGTTTACAGGATTTTTCAGCTATGATTCACTTACATAGGAAAGTAAACTGAGGTTAACGAATGTGTAGTTATATTCTCTCCAATGCTAGAGACGACACGTGTTGGAATAAAGGAGAAACTACAACAATACGTCTTTCTTAGTGCTGCCCACTAGTCTTCCTTAAGAAAAAAACTATTTTTAATTCATGTTATGCAGGGCAAGGTTTTTATTCGTTTTACTTGGTTTTTTTTAATGTTTTTTTTTTGACAAATTCAAATTCGTGTCAGACTGGCTTGGTGCGAGGCTGCGTGTCGGCTTTTATTTGGTGTGGGATGCCTTTGATCTGTAACCAAACCGGTTAGACAATCTGCGACAGTGGGACAAGGGTGTTCAGATAACGGAGAAAAATGCATTTATCAAATCATTTATTATCACGTGAAACACAGCGCAGCAAACGAACAAATCGAGCTTACTCATACTGAAGAGGGGGAAATTGACGAGTGTGTTTCCCATAATTCTTAAAAAAACATATTTGACTTAAAAAACCCAAACAATTTTGGTATCGCTTTCAGTATTTGTCCTCGTAGCTATCTTTCCTTCCATAACGTTATTATCTTTAACATTTTTCCTGTAAATGTACTTCTGTTTCCCAGAGGTATTTTTCAAATGTAAATAACTAAACTAAACTAAACTGGAGGCTGACTGAAAACTCAAAAGTTAGTTAGCTTCCAGACTCTTTATTTTTTCAATTCCTCACTCGTTACTAACCCTAAAATACAACAACGCTTTGACATCACCGGCACGCTTCTATCTTAACAACTGTGTGAAGAGATCTTTTCCAGTTAAGTAATGTTCCAGATAAGAGCTAAGAGAGGTATTAGATACAGCAAAAAAAGCGGAAGATCTCAATGAAAAAGTACTGAAAATGTTTTCCATTCAAAAATACTTCTTAAATTTCATTGTTAGTTTGTTCTGTGTTTATCACATTGCCTTTTGTTCTAGTGCATGAACGATTACAATTTTTTGCGTTATCATTTGCGACCTCGATACCTCTCCTAGTTAATAAATGGAAAATTACTTGTCTTTTAAAAGATAATATGTCAAGACAAACTTGACAATCATAATATCTTCTGGGTCCATGTGATCCAGTTCACAGCGCGGGATATTTGCTGCTACTTCCCCCTCCTTTATCTCCTTCGCCGGGAAAGGGAAAACCTTCTCCTCGCAGGAATCAGGCATCAATACTATTCTGTAGACATAAAGCGTAAAGTCATTAATGATCTGTGGTGAATCATGATAAAGTTGATTTTCTTTTTAACAGTTTTTAGGTTCGGAGACATGGTTTTAGATTTCCTCACTCCTGTATGGAAAAATTACGATATTGATAGTCGTCGTAAAATACGCCAGCTAAATGCAAGTACTTTGGCTTATCAGCAGCGATCATTTATCCTCTGTACTGCGTTCCAGAGCGAGAATCTATCCTTAATTATAAAGATGAGTCCCTAACCTCGTTCCTACTACCACTGCCGTCACTGCGGACACCAGTTCCAGGGAAAGTCCTGCAAATCGTATATGCGCCCTCCACCTGTTCCCATTCGGGCACTTGTACTCAGTGCTGAATAGGTGTGACCCCTTCACGTTATTCCATTTCTCTCCCCTCCAGCGGAAGGAGAACACTCCTCTTTCTTCCAAAATCCATCTCGGTTTGGCTCTCTGAAATGAAACCGAATGTTCAGTTCATGTTCATGTGATATCTTTTCTCATTATTTTTATAATTCTAGCGTCTCACCTTGAAATGCATCAGGCCCCGCAGACGCTGGACCTCTCCTTCCTGCAGAACACTGTGGGTGGCGGCAGCATTTGTCTAGTGCTGTGGCATGTTCTTCTGCTTTATTATGGCAGTGCAGCCAGTAACCGCACAGCGGACCGCTCTTTCTGAGCACTCGCTTAAATGCAGTGTTAAGTGGAGCCTGCAAAATAATCAAAATAAGGACCGGGGATAAGCTGGCTGGGGAAACTTTTGGATATTTTGTTGGCCTTAAATAACCATTTGACTGTTGATTTCTTAATTAAACCGACAATATCTTACCGTGGAAGGCTTGTTCCGCAGCTTAGTGGGCATAGTACTCTCTTATTTGAGCAAAGGGAAGCAGTATGCTCCTCGAAAGATTCCCTTGTTATTTTTTTACCGCATTGCTGACAAGGGAGTTTGTGCTTTGGACATTGCGCAGTGTGTGCTGCCATCCTCTCCCTTGCCACCATCTCTCCATACCCATCATTGGCACACGGCGTTTGAAATTTTCCACACGTTTTCAAGTGCTGCTCGTGCTCGTGAAATTTTCCTTTCCATAGAAAGCCGCTCTTATTACGCTTGACATCAAAGTTTCCAGTAGGTGCCGTTATATGTAAATTGCGTGGTTTTGAGGCAAAAAGACAGCAGATGAATAATATCCTCCACAGGCAAAGGAGTTCTTTGTCCCAGGGAAGCATCTTCTCTGAGTCTCTCCTCCGCAACCTTAACGGCAAGATCAACTAGGATTTTAGTGAAGAGCGAAACAACGTCGAAAGATACTAATTCTTCACAAGCGTTAAGAGTTTTATCTCTTCTGAAATCCGCAAATTCGTAGGAATTTTTGACAGTGTAATCAGTATTCCCAACAACAGGCGACAACATTCTCGCAAGATAACCAGAAATTGCATAAGTCGGAGAATTAACAAAAGAGACAATGGGTCTTCAAGGAATTCCCAGTTTATGAATTTTAGGTAGGTTACACGGATATGCGACAAGATATATGACAGATATGCTTATTGTGTGGTTTTTTTTTAGTGAATTAGTACAGAAGAGCCACCATATGGAGTACTCATAAACAAAGCAAACAAGCCTTGAGACACGATGCTCTTTGGGTTGCTTCATTTTTCTGCTTTTTCTGACTCGATTTTTGCTTAACCTGATTTTTATTTTTTTATCACAAGGAATTTTTCTGAAACATTCAAACAAGTGATGTAATTTGTTGCAGTTATATGGGTATAATGGACTTTTAGGACACATGATTTGTCTTGAAAACAGAAGTAATCTGAACTGAACGGTGCCGGTGAAAAACATAGAAAAAATCATGGTTTCTTTAATTTATCATAAAGCAAATTGGGATGCCTCGCCTTAACTGTGCTCTCTCCGAGATTATAGTGGAAGCAAGCCCTCAAAAGTTATGAAACATGACGACGTTTCATTTTTTTACTTTCACTATTTTTTGTTCTTCATTGCAAAGTCTACTTTCATACTATGCGGGTTTCTCCATTTAATGTCTTACATCTTTCTTCGAGAACGCACCATTTTTTTTATGAGCATATAAGGGACGTGTCTGAAACTTGACTTGTTTTGGAAACAAACACAATTTGAAATTGAGGGAGCTGGTGGATTCTTTTTCAAACACCAATTTCAGAAGCAGTGATCATGCCAGGTTCTGTTCTGAATAACAGAACGACGTCTTCTGTTTGCTACACTACACTCTGCCTCCTGCGTGCTCTAAAACAAAGCATTGCACAGTCTAGGTTTCTTAGATTGTGTGCAGTTCTCGGTGGTGAAGTAACTTTTTAATGACTATTCACACGCTCCTGGAGGGTTTCTCCAATTATTAGCTTTGACTGGCCACCGCTTGACGTTTCCCAAATTTTTCACCTGGCTGGGTGTAACCTTGTAGGCCGAATAAAAAGGAGTGTTCATTTCAGGATCAAAGAGGGAAAAAAGATAAGTTTTTTGAAGATCGTTGGGTAACTTTTGTTGGATTGCCTTTCCTCTAGAGATATCAGAAAGGCCCGTCGGACCCTTATTGCCAACGAAAAATGATGGTGTTTTCAACATTCTTTTCCAAATCAAGGAAACCGACAGAGTTTTCCTTTCAGCTGGCGGTTTTTCTGAAAGCAATCGTATACAAGGTCGGTTAGAAAACGACGTACCATCATCAAAACTAGCTAATGTAAGTTGTTGTTCAGTGCGGTTTGATCCTACAGTTGTCAACCTAAAAAAACGACATTAAAAAAATCACATCATTCGCGAAATGAACATGTAACCAACGACCGTAACTTTCATGACAGATCGAAAATCACCATTACATGGCTAATCAAAGCTATAAAAAAATTGTCGAGCATGATTGTTTATTACCAGCCTGATCTAAGCACTAATAGGAAAGTGTACGGGTCATGCTTGTTACTGGACATCTTTTCACCGGTTGTAAAACTAATTTAGAAACCTATCATGGATCAAACCTTTTTTCCATCATCGATTCTTTGATAGATGGCTCCTGGTGCAGGTTTACGTGCCATCGTTTTAACATGGTGTCATGGGAATGCCCAATTTCTTTAGACCATGTTGTGATCATATTTTGACATATGAAGTTTCCATCACAACACGACAGTCTATCAGAAACACCCTTAATTTTAGCTTTATGTGCCTGTAACTCAAGAAAGAGTTCGGTAATCTCCCTGTATTATAGATAGCAACCAGCATACCAAGATACATCTACTTGTCGCCATCGTTAATTGCCATAAATTACTACAATTTGTTTATTTATGATTTTATTAGCCGTTTCGATTATTATATTGCGCCTGGGTATTACTTTTTGACAGGAGCTCAGGTTTTGCGTTGTGTTTTCCCCTCCTTCATTCATATCATAAGCTAGTCACGCAATAGTTGATACCGACACAAGTGAATATTTACCATTTATAAATATTTTTGTTTACGTTGAATTGAAAGTATTAAAATATGTGCTTTCTTCACCAATCGTTGTTTCAGCAGTAGCGAAGCAGTTAAAAGCGGGTTGTTGCTTAAACGCTACTGAAATTTTTAGAATTCAGACAGGCGAGCAAAGCGTGATGCTCTGGGAATAAAAACTTTTAGGGGCCTTTTACATGATATCCGAATGAGTTTTGTACAAGAACGAGTTCATACCGGTTGCCACATAATAACCAGCGTAAAAGTTATTCGAAATGAGTCATTTCTGAGGGAGTTTATTGGGGTTTTCATTACAGAACGAAACACTCCTTCTGGACGATCTTTTCTACCTGTACTTGTTCTACCTAATTGTTGCCACTCCCACACGGATAAGACTTAAGCACCTTTTATAATTTTATAGCGGTCGTTTTCGAAATTCCTGGCGCGCACCCCCGCCCTCTTATATAAAGGGGTTCCCTGGGGGTGCTAATAATTGCAGCAAACTTGACATTTAACAAATTGTGATGTGATTTTGGCGAAGAGAAACATGTTTTGTCAGCGTCTAGTCGCTAGTGCGGAAGGGCCATTTACCACCGTGTGCATAATTACGCGTCCCCCCAGACGGCAGAAAGCCAACAAAGTGTTCTGACATTACTTCAGAAAACTCCGCCTCTGTCTGAATTTTTGGTAGCCTATTGACCAATTCCCAATCGAAACTTAACTCTGACGTCACGCGTAATTTTGCTCACGGTGGTAAAACTGTCTTTGTTTTGATGCTACTTTTCGACATAGGAAAAGTATGTCGGACAAAAATATTCACCAAAAAATTAATATTTCTTTGGCAGCTTCAATAACGACAGAGGATTAAGTTTAGATAATAAAACAAAGGATTATATTCGCAGAATACCTTAAGTCTCGTACATTCGATACACGAGGTCACACAACTCGGATAATATTCACGGTGAAAATTTGCATATTTGAGCTCGAAAACTAAAATATATTTTTACAAAAAAACTACACCACAATTATTAGAACATATTAGGCTACAAAATATAAAAGTGGGAGGGAAAACAAATTTGGGTGACTTGCCGCTGTTTGTTTGATTCATGTTGACATTAGCTCTTAAGATCGAGCCGATTGATTTCCTGTTTTCCGTTTTTACGAGCTTTTTGTAAAGACGAATTCGCTTTGTTTTACACGGAGAGCCAAAATGCAGTTTTTAACTCAAAGGTGGCAAAGTGCTACCAATAAATCGCCGGATTGTAAAGACATCAATCATTACGACCCAGAGAAGACGTGATGGGTAGGCCTGTTTGTTAAGCTGTAAAAATCGGTGAGAATCGCAGAATTTCGTTAGCGGAATTGATGTGCTCACATTAAATAAACTTGAACGACGTACGCTGCTACCCTCCTGTAACCGAGTTTCGTGGGACACATTTTACACTGTCCCTCCGAAGTTGGTGAAATGTTTCAGCAGATCATGTTTTGATTTCTTACTATCTGTATTTCTCAGAAAACTGAGGTTTATTGGAATTTTTGTAACATGAAACATCTTTTGTAACAACGGTCTTCTACCATCTATCGATTTATCGTTTCCTACACTCCTGAACCCTAAAAATAGAGTAGAATTACATCTGTAATTGAAAAGACTTGGAAATCATCAGTTTACTGAAATGTAGAACTGCTCTGTCACTGTGCAAGAAGGTTTATAAACTTCAAATATATTTTTATTTAAAACTATTAACTGGACTGATTGGTTACCGTTATTTCAATATTTGGCAGATAGTTAGCTACTAGCAGAATTAAGACGGAATTTAGCATCAAGTTCAGTCCTTCGATGTTGAATGTCGTGATAATTAGTCAGATTTTATTCCTGGTCACCTAACAATTAAAAATGTGCCAAGGATAAGCCACAATGATGAGCTAAATTTGCTAGATCCCAACTGTGGTTCAAAAGCTGATACTGCGTTTTAAGACTATGGTCCATTAAAAGGTATTCTTGAAAGAGATACAAAATTTTTCCACCTGATTAAAGCTTTTATTTGAGAAAATTAATGAAATGAATCAGCTAGATTTACAACTCATGGCTTAAAAAAAAGTCACCCCATTATAACTTTTCAAAGAATTTGGACGGGTTGCGGAAACATCAGTTACGACAATCAAGCAAGATTCAGAATATAACCCGCTTTTAACCCTCAATTTTGAAATCTCCTTTGATGAATTCTTAGAATGCCATGGAAGTGTAAGTAAATTATGTCATGGCTTCCCTTGATGCGAACGTTTCCCGTGAACAAGGGTTTATACGACTCTGTAACATAAAACATTTTTTGTGAGTGCGGCTTTTACAATTTACCATTTCCGGTGTCATTCATTTACTTAACCCTTCAACTCCCAGGACCTCATTAGAAATTCTCTCTTCCGTCTGACATACAATTCTTAAGATGTAATGGGTTCTTCTGAAAATGATGGAGAACTGCTTTAACCCTTTAACTCCTATGAGTGACCGAGATGGAATTTCTTCTTACAATGTCAATACAATATCGAGCAGGCAAGT